AGCATGCGTGCATTCCATAGCGTCCTTTGATGCAGCCAGTCTCCTCTACACCCGGGCTCCAAAAAAAAAAAAAACCACGACGACGACAGCCTTTTCAACTTTGGCGGCCTCTGAAACGCAAAAAAGACGAGAAGGCCTCACCAGCGAAAACCCTCAACCTCACCCGGAACAACAGACAAGAACGGGCCACGCTTGCATACGCTCTCGCCGCGGATGTTTCTACATAGACCCTTAACAGCAGCGACCTACGCACGCGTCTATCGCATCTATCTGCCGATCAATCGGAATAAAACGAGCCATGGCGCCGACATGTCGGCCTGTCGCGCCTGCGTCGGTCTACAGGAACAATTCTCGCTAGGACAAAACACACGAGACAACCGGCTCAAGGTCACCCATCGGCCCAAGCATAAACGAAGTCAGAGTCGTTTCGTTTGTGTGTGTGGATGGATATAATAGTGTGTGAGGGGGCAGGGAGAGGGGAGAACCTAATCGCGCCAAAATACATGAAACGAGAAACTATCCCGGTTACTCCATCTCCCCCCCCCCCCTGCAGGAATGAACACATCCCCCGAAAAACTTTAATCGCGTGCAATCCCTAAAGCACAAGAGGTTTTGAACGTATTTCGACTGCAGGTAGAGCCTCCAGTCGGCCGCAACCGCTCCAACGTCAAAACTCGCTGTGTGACCTTAACACCCCTAGACTAGTGCTGTTGGCGAGCACTTTCGAACCGAGACACGCAGGAACCGGATGCCCCCCCCACTGCGTCCACCCGTCTACAAATACGCCGTGCCCCCAAGAGACAAAAACCAAATGCACCCGTGCCCCCCACGAAACGCGTCTATCATTTTCTCCATGATTTCATTTTTTCTAGAACCTTATCGTGGGTGGCTTTACAACGAGCCGACTCTAGCAGGCGCGGCACCTACATGTGGACGGCGACGGCCAAACAACAACAAACTATCCACGAAAAATTGGTCGATACAACAAGACCGACCCCCAAAAAATTGACCCGCAGCAGACGTGACAAAACGAGCAGCCGACCACCTTCTACAAACTGCGGCCCCGCCCGCTTTCGCCCTCCGCGCAACACTTTTTAGGGGCTCCGCGTCACGAGGCATCGTAATTCGGCGTCGACGGCGGTCCTCTCCACCACTGCAGCAGGGACGTGGATAAATACACATGAAATATCGATACCAGAAAAAGTCTGTCGACAAGGGAAACAAAATTAACGTCCCAGCCCCCCGCCCCCCCCCTCTCGCAAAACGCCAGCGAAAAGCGCGGAATATAAAGGGTTGGGGGGACGCCCAGCAGTCACCGCTTCGCAAACATGCTGCCCCGTGCACCTTTTAAACCCCTTTTCCCTACCCCGTAGCATCCAACTTGCAGTGAACGCGAGCGAGAAAACCGCGCCTGAACAAAACGCCCCCC